GAGGCCGAGGGAGGAGGATCGCTTGAGCTCAGGAGTTCAAGACCAACCTGAGCAAGAGTGAGATCCCATCTCTAGTAAAAATAGAAAAATTAGCCAGGCATTGTGTAGTCCCAGCTACTTAGGAGGCTGAGGCAGGAGGATCATTTGAGCCCAGGAGTTGGAGGTTGCAGTGAGCTATGATGACACCACTACACTCTACCCAGGGTGACAGAGTGAGACTCTGTCTCAAAAAAAAGAAGAAAAAAAAGGAAACTGAACTCCCCTCCCTCACTAGCCCCCTTCATAAAAAAAAGAAAAACAAAAAAACTTGTCTTTTAAATATTGCTTTAAAAGTTATAGTAAAGGTGAGGGGGGGTAATAAGTTCCCAAAATAAGGTAAATGTGTAACAAATGTAGTCTGTAGAAGTTTTCAAGTTGTTAGAAGCAATCAAAATGCCATGAGTGCTCTAAGCTATTGATATAAATACACAATTTCTCCTCCCCTCTAATTTTGGGCATATGAACAGAGGAAGAGGTGTTAAACAAAGAAATGGACCTTCCTAGCTAACTCAGAAGGGCAAAGTAACACCATGCTGTCATTTCATTATACCAGTCAAAATAAGTGAAAACTCTGTATATGACTGCAACAACAAAAAAGTTCCAGATACCAAGGAAGGTAGGAGCTTCCAGGCAGCCTAGGAGAGTTTTTTAATATGCTAAAATGAAAACGCTGGACTTAGGGGGAACTAGCCCTGAGCTTTAAAACTCTAAGCCAGGGGCAAGCTGGAAGGAAACAAATATTCTGATTATGTTTGAGAATTGTATCAAGCCTAGATTAAACAATAATCAAAATAATTAATCATCACTGAGAAACATGCCAACTTTTGGAAAAGTATTTATGTTATCAAATTATTATTAAGACTATGCGCTATTTCTATTTACTAAATTTTTTATTTATAGAAACATCTAGAAAATTCTTAAAACTATTCTCTAGCTCTGCACATCTGAGGGAAGTGACTTTACCTAAAGACTACGGTTTCTACATTCCAAGTCCATTTCTCCCGTCATGCAGATGTAGCACATCTCAACTGCAAGTTCAAATCCAGGTGTTCTGGGTGTATATAAACCTCCTCCGACCTTTACAAACTGTGTTACACACATAAAAAACTACACCAATGCTGCCTTTCATTATCATGTGTTATCATTCTTATACCAAAACTATTTTAATAAATTCTCACCTTCCATGGCCGTCTAATTCCTTTGAAAAAGTCAGGCATCCACATGGGAAGAACAACAGCTTCCCTTAGCAACTTCTTAGCTTCTTCCAGATCTGCGATGTCATCCCTTTGCAAGAACAGCAAAGTTTCATAGTGGTTATTCAGGGACAGCTTGATTTATAGTCAAAACTATTCTTTTAATTTTTTTACTTATAAAATTATTCTTTTATTAAGAAAATTATTCTAATTCTTACTCCATAAAAAGATCAGTGAAAACATACTGCAGTTATTAATTAGGATATGTTATTCAATTAACAACCTTTGTCAGCTATATGAACATCAAATTAATATGTAAAATCCTTGGTTATATTCTGACAAAGGAACTTTCCCATCAATTCTGTACTCTCATGTCATGAATGAAGTCATAATCAGGAGATTAATGGATAGCAAGAGAAGACTTATAACAAGCCAGCCTATAACTTGTTTTCTCCTCTACTGTAATTCAATAATTTAAAAGACTCTAACCAATGAATACTTGGATTCCTGGATACAATGTCTCTCTCCAGGGCTTCTATCAGATCCTTATCATATCCAGCACCATCAAATTTTGGAATTTCACCATCACTTGCACCATCTTGCATATTCTTCCTTCCCTGGTGATAGGTATAAAAAACATGCTGGCCAATAACAGGATAATTTTAATTAACATCATTAAACTTTCAAAACATTATAATGTAATCGCTTTTTAAATAATATTTATTATTTTAAGATAGTATTTTCTTATTACTCAAATGCCATCCTCCTCTATTTAATTCATCGGAAATAGACGGACTGGTCAACTTTATTAAAAACTTAAAATCTACATTCATGTGGGGGACAGTGCAGGTAAGACTAAAATGATCCTTGCTAGATCCCAACAGATTAGGAAAGCCTACCTTTGAATTCATGGATGCAGAGGATTTCCACCACTGCTAGAGACTATTTAGAATATTAATGTAGAGGAAGAAAGAAAATTAATTTACTGAGAGCTTACTATTTGGCAGAAAATCTCACATACATTATCTCACTTCATACAACAACTCTACAAGGTAGATAGTATTTTTCCTTCTTTTTACAGATGAGGAACTAGGACTCAGAAAGGCTAAGTAACTTAATCAAGTTCACTAATAAATGTCAGGGTAGAGATTTTAACTCAGTTCTTCCTGCCTCCCTAAACCTATGCCCTTCACATCATACTGCCTGTGCTTGGCTGAGTCACTTACAGCTTACGAACAGGTTGTGTATGGCACAACAATTAGATCCTCCAAAGCATCCAAGAAAGAGGCTGCAGATGAGCAAGAGTTGGGACTCTGCAATGCATCTCACAAAGCCTTTTCCTTGTTACTTTAAGTACCTCCTTAGGATTCAGGGTTTCTTCCTACTAAGGTCCTTGGGACATACCGTAAAGTCACTTGGTAAAATCATAAAGACGATGGTAAAAGGACCTTTTAAAATAGTATTATTAACACCATTAAAGCAGTCTGATTTACTCCAAATTCTTCATTTAATAATATGGTGCTTTAAAAAAAGAATTATATGCTATGGTTTCTATGGGGTTCTGCCAAGATTTATTCAGTTTTGAAGAGCTTTACATGAAATGTACTCATTTGCCAAAGATAGCCCAACTACTGGAACTACTTGAGCAGGCAGAACCAAGTTATCTCCCCAGAGCTTTAGCCCCACATTAACTGTCTAATGTAAACATGAAGGGGGAAAATGGTCAAAATGAGTCAGTCTCCTAAATGTCAATCTGAAAAGAGATAATAGAACAGGATGAAACTTTCTAATCCTCCTTTTTCTGAGACAGACAAAAGGCCCGAGTAAAAGTGCTGGGAGAGGACGAAGTGGCTCCCTTAGGCAGATGTTCTAGTTGTTTTAAGTCACAAGGTAGATGACCAAACAGCATTCCGGTGACTTGACCCAAAAAATGAACAATTTACTCTTTCTGGGCAGTATGGAAGTAGTATTAAGCAATTTTCAGGAAGATTCTTACATTTCATATAACCAATATCAATATTGGCACTATTGAAAGGAGTAAATTTCTGGCACACCTACACAAGAAACATAACATTAACAAATTTAAAATAAGCTCAGTATAGAATCACATTTTATAGCATATATAGGCCAAAGCTACAAAGTCACATTCAAACAAATCACTGGGAACACTTTAAAGCTATTCTAGGCCGGGCGCGGTGGCTCACGCCTGTAATCCTAGCTCTCTGGGAGGCCGAGGCAGGCGGATTGTTTGAGCTCAGGAGTTCGAAACCAGCCTGAGCAAGAGCGAGACCCCGTCTCTACTAAAAAGAGAAAGAAATTAATTGGACAACTAAAAATATATAGAAAAAACTAGCCGGGCATGGTGGCGCATGCCTGTAATCCCAGCTACTCGGGAGGCTGAGGCAGGAGGATCGCTTGAGCCCAGGAGTGTGAGGTTGCTGTGAGCTAGGCTGACGCCACGGCACTCACTCTAGCCCGGGCAACACAGTGAGACTCTGTCTCAAAAAAAAAAAAATAAATAAAGCTATTCTAGAAATAAATCAACTAAAGAATGCAACAGAAACGGATATATCTGGGACTTAAGACTTCCTATGGCATTGTAATTTGAGACTTACCAAATTAAAATTAAAATTCATTTTAACATGAATGTCCAAGTGGCAGGGGAGGACTTGACAAAGACTACACAAAGAGAAAGGAAAAACTGCACACCTATCTGAAAATAATAAGAATCATAGGATTTTAAGAACAGTAAATATTTAAGCATCTACTACATGCAACACATTTTACTGTGCATTAGGTTTTAAAACAGTGAATGAAAATACATTTTCTGCCCTCATCACGCATCTAATCTAACGGAGGAAACAAGTAACAAGTAAACAAAGCAAAAACACACATAATTATAAACTGTGAAGTGCTGTCAAAAAACCTGAGTGTAGTCAGTGTGGCTAAAAGGTATTAAGCAGAAGGAAGAGGTTGGAGACATGGGTAGAGCTGAGTGTGGATTTTATTTTAAGGGCACGGGGATGACATGATCTGATTTATATTTTTAGATGACTCTTATGTCTGCTCTATGGAAAAAGGATGGGGAAGAGCAGGAAAACAAAAGAAGTAAAAGCCTCTCACTGCACAGAAGAGGAAACGTGGTATAAGCCACTTAAACAACTTGACTGAGAATCTGAAGTTTCTCGATGATACAGATGGGACCTGAATACACATTAAGTTCTCCAAAGAAGATTCTGGGAACTTCTTCAAATCAAAATGGTGAGGATATTGAAAAACAGACTAAGAAAAACTAAAATTAAATAATTAATTTGGTTACACCAGGAAATTAGTAAAATGGGTGACAATTACCCTTCATAACAAATAGTTAAATATTTAATAAATTAGAAGAGGGATATCAAATGTAAATAACTATGGTACCAGTTAACTAGCTAGATTAAAGGCAATACCTAAAAGAAACTGTTAGTTTCAGGCAATAAAACTAACCTTGCCCAAGATATTATTATCTGTATGTTAATAGTATTAGCTGCAATGTCAGTGAAATGATCTTAGAATTCTTTCCTTAGATTTTTACTTTAGTTGACTACGGTCAACATTAGCAAGAATTTATATTTAGCATAAAGGCTGAAACACTTTTCTCATGAAAGCAAAATATTTTAGCTTCTTTTTACTAATATCTAAATTACTCATATCAAAAAAGCTTTGTTAATCATCTATTGGGTAATTATTCTATTTGTAGAAAATGAGGCTCAAAGTGACTAATCAAATATTATAGAGTCAATAAATGATACAGACTATCCTAAAATACAAATAGTGGTTTTCACATTTTACTATGCGGCCTCTCACAGTGGCAGATTAAGTGAAACGTGGTCAGTTATCAGCGTTGGGTTATTGTATTTTAAGAGAAATACTGACAAATGAATCACACCCAGGAAGGATGATCAGGGCGCTAGAGTTCAAAACCCATGTCATACAAAGAAGGAAACTAGAGACATTTAAGTTAAATAAACAAATGCTAATGGAGCAACACAACCGACTTGCTCTACATTACTCCAAAGGAAAGAACCAGGGCCAAAATATAAAGCAACAAAAGAGGCAGATTTCAGATCAGCCAAGAATGAATTTTCTAACAATGGATTCTGTCCAACAAAGGAATCAACTCTTTTGTTAGGTAGTGAGAATTTATATCCAACATAAGAATTCCATGTTTTATTTTACACTTTCTGTAGTACATAGAATGGCTAGAATGAGTGGTGGATTCTGAGAAAGGATAAGAAAAACTTAAATATAGCTACTAAGATTCCACATTTAATCTTACTATATAAGAAATATCGCATTTAAACAGAGCTCATGAACTCCTATTAAGAAAGCCCTGAAAGTGGAAAACTTAGAATAGTCCAATAAGGATACGCACATTCTAAAATCAAGAAGCTAAGAACTCTCACTGGGCAAGGTTGAAATATAATAAAACTGTTCTATCTAAGAAAAAGATGACACAAATCTTCCTATGACCTAAGAGCTCATCTCCTCTCAAAGACTAAACCGACACTTGTACAGGAAAAGAAAATAAACAGTGAGTAAAAAAAAAAACAAAACAGGCAAGCACAAACTTCCACAAATAGGTTTGGAATTCCAAATCGTAAGTTTAGTCAAAGTTATTTAGATACGAAAACTATTTTACTATAATTTAATATAAAAAGGCAAAAAATAAAATAAAAACAAAAACTAGCACTATAAATTAGCTGCCACCAAAGAAACAATTTGTGGAGTGATTTAATATCCAAAGGACAGAACAAGATATTTCTTAAAAACAAGTCATTGATAATACAAACGGCCACTGAACATATGAAAGGGCTTTCAACCTAAGTTATCAGGTAAATATTCAATATACAGGAAATATGCTGGTAAAATCCTAAGATATGATTATACTAAAAAAGACTGACAATATCTAGTGTTGGCAAGGATGTGGAGAAACTGAAGGGAAGAGTAGAAATTGGTATAACCACTTTGCAAAACTATTTGGTGTTATTTACTAAAGTTTAATTTATAAATATCCTATGACCTAGCAATTCCACTCCTAGCTATATGCTCACTAGAAATGCATGCATGTATTATATATATATATCAAAGGAAAAGTATAAAACTATTCAAAGCAGCATTACTCACAATAGCCCCAAACTAAAAGCAATCCCAATATCCATTAACAAGAAAACAGATTTAACTGTGAAATAGTATGTAACAATGAAAATAAATAAACTACAGAAATACGCAACAGCATGGAAGAATCTCACAAATATATGTTAAGCAAAAAAGCCAAACACAAATGAACACTTACTATACATACAGTTTCAAGACAGGCATAACTAATTTATGCCATTTAGAAATCAGAATAGTGGTTACCATTTAGGAAGAGGGAAGCGGCAAGGACTGGGAGGGATCATGAACATGGCTTCGGAGGTGCCAAACGTTCAATTTCTTGACCCCTGAACTGACAGTTACATAGATTACATGGTAGTCACACAGTAGTTACAAGGGTTACATGCAGTGAGATGCCGAAGATGTTTCTTAGTGGTTTGTGAAAGCCAATTATTAAATTTCCAGAAATTTTGTGAGCCAG